TCCTAAAGGAGGGCCCCTAGCTTAATTAGGAATTATTCTTCTTAAAGGCCCCCTTTTAGGGACTTATCCTTAGAGAAGCCCCCCTTTCTTATAAGACTTAATTTCCTCCTTAAGCCCCTTTTTCCTAAAGTAGGTCTAAAAGAGCCTAGGGCTAAAACCCGGATTTCTTAAGTAAGGGATAAGTATAAACTAAGACCTCCTCTATACGCTTACTAGCCCGAAGCCGTATTAGCTATACCCTTACTATAAGGGCAGGCTATAGCTAAGGGGGTGTATCGCGAAGCGTAGCCTAATTTTATAGTTCTTAGAGATATCCCTTAGTATAAGGGACCTAGGAAGCTAAAAAATATGTTTTAAGGAAGGAGCTAAAAAGAGGTATAGAGAGGAGGGTAGGGGTAAGAGGGGAAGTAGAAGTAGCGATAGCTTCCTATAGAGGTAGCGAGAGATAAGACGAATATACTAGTAACGGCTAGAAAGGAGGGGAAAACCGGTAAAAAGCTTAGTAGTTAAAAGGATATTAGTAGCTTCTTTAAGTAGGATCTTCTTTATTAATTAAGATGCTAGATAGGTATAAAGAAAGGCGTTAGATAGAGGAAAGAAGGATAATTAAGGCAATATAATAATTACTCCCCTACCTTTATTACTGCCCCTATAAGAATTAAATCTCTCTGCCTTACTTATCCGACCCCTTACTTTTAATTTTACCTTTATATATTTTTTATATACTTCTCGTATCTCTCTTCGCGAGAGCTTAAGTATACTATTTACAAAAAAAAAGCTATTTAAGATAGAGGTATTATAGAGGATTAAGGTAAAGGAAAATTTTAGAGCCTTATATAATTAATACCTATAACTAAACGTAGTTATATTTTAAATTAAAGAAGAGAAAGTTAAGCTATTATTTTTATAAACCTTATTTTATAGATATATTATATAAGAATTTGATTTACGATATATACCTTTTATTAAGTAAGATACTATATACTTCTTTAATACTATATATAAACTACGTAAAGTTACTAGCTAAGACTTAAAGGAAATTTTATAATAGTTAAAGATATTATACTTATAAGCCTTAGCTAAATAACTTTAAAAGCTATTTATATCCTTAAAGGAAATATTCTTTAATTTATAATTAGGTTCTAGATATATAACTAGCTATACGCTAAGTCCTTAGAAATACTAAGAGATAAGATAATCTCTTACTTTATAGGTAGAGAAATACTTATAAGACTATTTAGTCTAAGACGCTATCTTATCCTAAAAATATATAAAGTACTAGTCCTTTCTATATATTTCTAGGAAGCTAATTATAATATTTTTAACTACTATCTTTAGCGAATAAGACTTAATCTCCCTTCTTAGCGTAACTACTATATATATTATATAGAGCTAGTATTTTAATCTCGTCTTATTATTAAGTTCCTTTATATTAGCGTAAATAAGTTTAGCTAAAAGTCTTTTTTCTTCTAAGCTATAAGATTATTAAGGTTACTAAGATCCTAGCGTTAAATCTAAGAAAGACTAGCTCTCGTTCTTAAGTTAGGAATTAATCTCTATAATATAGATCGTATTACAGAACTTATCTTTAATATTAACTTTAGCTAGTTTCTATAGGTACGACCTTATCGATCGTACTTTATTCTCTTTAATACGATATATCCTAAATAGCTATATACTAGCTTCCTTAGCCTCCTTAATCGTTCGTAACTCGCGATAACCCTCCTTACTAAGAGAATTATAAAGACTATTAAGACTAATAAGTATAGGATTTATCTTAATCTTCCTTAGCTTAATAGTACTAGTATTAGTTAGTGCCTTAAGATTAGTATACTAGCTTATATAGCCGGCCGCTTTTAATAATACCTTTATTTAAGGGGCGTCCTAAGAATATTATTATTATATCGTACTAAACTCTTTAATTAATATAGGCTTAGTAAGTTACTATATTAATATAGTATATAACTTACTATAGCTATACTTAAGTTACGGTGCCTAGAAAGGTTAGTAAGTAAAGCTATATACTAACCTAATTATATACTTTTAACTGCTTTTCCTAAGCCTTAGTATATATAGTATAGATTTAGGTTCTATATAAAGCCTATTATAAGACTTATCTTTATAAATAGTAAAGGTAGGTATAGTAATAAAGCGCCTTAGTATTAAATATATATACTACTTTATCGTTCGTTAATATAACTTAGCGGAATATTAGCATATCTCTTATACTCTTCCGCTAATAAAACTCTAAAGAATACTATAGGGATAGGACTTTAATTTAATAAAAGTCGTTTACTTTCTTAATATTCGCTTTAAATACTTAGTTAAGAAGTATAAGGGCTAAAAGATAAAGCATAGTATTAAATAATAAGTTATTAACCTTATAAAAAAATAAAGGTTTTACTAGGAACCTAGTATAAGCTAAGGCTAGTATAAGTATAAAGGAGTTACTTATAGGTTTTCTCTTCGCTCTTAGCCTTTTATAAACCTTAGCGTTACCTCTATAGCTAGAAGATCTCTTCCTTCGTCTAGGTTTTTAAGGAGGAGTAGCTAAACGTCCTTATAGTAAATTATCTTAAAACTATCCTCTTTTAAGTTAAATTTATCTATATAGTCTACCTAAGTCGCTTTATCTTTATAGCTAAAGTAGTAGTTATTAACGGCGTTTATATTAAGTCGCGTATATATAAGTACTTTAGTATATATAGCTATATATACTTAAAGTAATATTAAGAAGGCTAACTATATACGCTAGCGCTTATTAAGAAAGACTAAATAATTATATAAGATATAAACTTTTATAATTAAAATAAAACTTATATTATTAATCTCTTTATTTACCTACTTACTAAAACTAACTCTTATAGACTTCTAGTATACTTAAAAAAGAATTCTTTTATAGGTATATATAGTACTTCTCTTATAAATCCTTTAATATATATTAAGTATTTACTTTAAAAATATTATAATATCTTCCTTTATTAATTCTATAAAATAACTAAGTAAATCGACTAATAGGTATATATAGTATTTAGTCTTATTAGCCTATTACTTAAATATAATAGAAATATCGCTTACCTTATCTATTTCTATTTTACTCTATATATATTAACCTTTATTATCTTAGAGTGCCGCTTTTTAATAGCCCTATGTTTTTAAAGTCGCTCGCGCTTCGACCGGTAGTAGGCTAGCAAGTGCTAAGCTCGCGGTAAGCTTTTTAATACCGCTATACTTTGCTCTTATATATCTTAGAGCTTTTAAAGAATAAAGTAAAGGTTTATAGCCGAATAGTATATTGCCTATTAATTAATATATTCTAACGCTATTAAAATTAATATACTATAGTTTAATTAAGGGGTTAGTAGGGGCTGGGGATAGTAAGGCACCTCGAAAGCTATAGCGGAGGGGTAGAGACGAATAGCTCACGCCCCGCTACCGGCGCTTTATAAAATATCCTCTAAAAAGGGCAGCCTATCCTCTAGAAGTAGAAGCACTTCCTCTAAAAATAGAAGCATATTTACGGTGAACCTATACTTTTATCGTAATATCTATTACGAAGCTTATATATATTAATTAACGTTGTCGCCTGCAATATATAGGTGGCTATGCTTTTTCGTGACAATATCGGCATTACTACCGTTGCGTTCTAGCCGGCCGTTCCACTTATTAGATGTTCCGCTGAGAACTTAACTAACGGCTACTTATATATAAGCTTGATTAATCCCTATTTTAACCACCTACGACCAGCCGCCCTTACATCTACCTTCCCCACCTTCAACTATCACTCAGTCTTGGCGCTTTACTCGCTAAATGAGGATCTCAAAAATTCTTCTTGCTGTCCTTATTAGACTTGCAACGGCCAGTCCGCTATGGAAACGAACGGTTGTCACCCAACGAAATTAGAATAATATAGCGAAATTAGGCGATGAGCATAGAAGAAATTTCGAGGGGATTGATTATTTAAAATCTAGGTTAAAGGGGTGGAGTTTTAGCTTTTCAGCGCCTATTACCGCCTTGAGGAACAGGATGATTATAGATCGGATTAAGAAGTTGATTAAGAGGAATGAGGAAATCCGGAAGGAGATATTAGCCTTGACGAGTTTTAGCCGGTAACTAACTTTTCGAATAGCAATATAATTTGATTATAGTTATAATAAATATTACCAATTATGTAACTCGCAAGGAGAGCATGCAATAGGCATAATGGTTAAAGGGCATATAAATTAGAATAAAGTATATCGTACAGTTACGTCTTTATTACCTTCTAAGTTTATTATAGATTTCTGCCTAGCTTGCAGTTGCGTATAAGTCCGGTAGGGATCAGGCAGCCTTCTCCCAACGAGACGCCTCGCCTAGGGAACCGTCGACGTGGACAACCATCTTGTTCATGAGTCAAGAAATGCGAGCCAACTTGTCCAAAGAGCTGGTGGCGACTATCCGTGCAAGAAAGGAGTATTATGCAAGACTCAAGCATGCTGCGGCTTCTTTCGGGGCACAGACAGAGGAACTTGCGGCTTTGGAGCAACCTTTTGCGGTGGTGACTGCGCGCAGTGTGACGCCAAACCCGAGTGCGGGCAATTTGCTGATCCTCCCAGTGAGTGTGGTGGCATCGGCACAAATATCAATTGCAATGGTGTAACGTAACCCTAACTCACTCTCAAGCAAGCTTTGCCCCCTTAATGTGTGCTGCAGCGAGGATGGCTTCTGCGGTTGCACTGCTGAGTTCTGCGAAAAGGGCTGCCAGTCCAACTGCGTTCTCCACCCCCCGATTCCGCCTGGAGGAAGCGGCGTAAGCTTTCGGAACAAAGTCATCGGCTATTACGAAGCCTGGTCAGCGAGATCGTGCAGAACCTTCCCTCCCAGTGCCATCCCTGTAGATGGTTTGAAGCATGTCAATTTCACCTTTGCATGGTGAGAAGCCCTCGAGAAGAGTAAGAGTTGAGACTGCTCACCGCAACTCTGATGAACGTATCGATCCGAGTACGCTCCAGGTCACCACTATGGACTCTGCCACACTGGAGGGTTCATTGGCCGAGACTACCGATATTAAGAATGTAAAGTCCAGCAACTCGGAACTGCAGGTCTTCGTCTCCATAGGCGGCTGGACATTCTCAGACAACGACACAGCGACGCAGCCGTTATTTCCCGCAATTGTGGGCGATATCGGCAAAAAGTCAGAAGTTTACGGATAACCTCGTGTCTTTCATGGCCCGATACGGGTTTGACGGGGTCGATCTTGACTGGAAATACCCCGGGGCCCCGAGCCGTGGTGGTTTAGAGCAGAAGGACGTGGCCAACTATCCCTTGCTTCTCCAGACGCTTCGCACCACGTTTGAATCCTCAGCCCGCGGGAGCTACGGCTTGATATTCACCATATCAGCCTCTATTGGTATCTCAAGTAGTGAGTGTTACTGTCTCTGTCAGCTGCCACCAGCACCTCCATGGAGGGTCCACTACCAGGTCATCTGTTGTAGTGTCACTTCACTTTTGCCTGTACAGCCTAGTGGTTTCCTCACAGTTTCAACTACCGAAACCTTCTAATACATGTACATGCTCTGGACCACAGGTTCTATGTTGCGAGCTTGCTCAAGTATGCCGACTGGGCGACGTCATGTCCTAAGACCTTCATGTCAGCCAGCCCTTGGTGTAGTCTCAAAGTAGCCACGGCCTGAACAGCTCGATAGGGGGTTTGGGATGAGCATAACCCCATCGGCTCCATTGTCCAGAGCCACACCAACTTCACCGAGATCAAATTGGCGGCCGACCTGCTCTGGCGGAACAAGGTGCCGCCCGGAAAGCTTGTGCTTAGAGTCGGCTTCTACAGTCGATCGTTTGGGCTCAGAGACCCGGAATGCAGCAGTCCGGGGTGTAGGTTCAAAGGCCCGGCCAAGGCGGGAGATTGCACCAATCCGGCAGGGGCTTTCCCCCGCTGTTTTGGTGAGCTAAGTCCACTGGTGGATCAACTTGATCCGTTCTTAACTTCTACCCGTTGATCTTGGTGTGGGGCCACAGCAGCCCAACTAAGTGTCTTCGCCACTTAGTTGGCCCAAAAAATCCGGCACAGCCCAAAAAATCCGGCACAGCAGCCCACCTCCAAAACGTCAACCCTATGCATCTCAACCGCGTTTTCTCGCGCAACTTGACTTTATTTACGTATCTTTTTGCCGGAATACATTATGACAGATAACATGGCTACCCTGGAGGCAGCAGCAAAGCCGTTCTGGCGTCTCGTCGCGACCCCAGAGCCGATGTTCGTCGCTCAACAACACCAAAAAGAACGCCTCTTTCCGTGCGAGATGCGGCCATCCGTTACAATGTGAAGAGCTCATCCGTACAGAGAGCCATTAATTTCATAAGAAACCCTTTCCGTGCTCCAGGGCGTCCATTGGCGCTGACGGAGGACGAAGACGACGCCCTGGTTGCGTATGTACAGTGGATGGAACGCACCGGCATGCCCGCCACGAGAGAGCAACTTGAAGCTGTTGCAAATGCAATAAGAATGCGTCGAGATCCCAATGCCCGCCCGGTCTCGTCAAGTTGGCTTGACAATTGGCGTGGAAGTCATCCTGCGATCGCGAAGACGTATCTCAAAGCAGTTGAACGAGCCCGGAAGTCCTTTGAAGCCCACGGGGTAGAAGAAGTCGAATTTTTCTACTCAAAGCTTCGAGAAATCATCACCAGCTACCGTATTGGCAGTTCAGAGATCTGGAATGAAGACGAGGCCGGAATACGCATTGGGTGCCTGCGAGAACGCATCCAAGTTCTCATCACGCGCACCACTAGAGTCAAGAGCACCCGGCCCTGAGTTTTAGACCCAGCAAACCGAGAATCCTGCACGGTAATTGCCTCAGTTAACGCAGTGGGGGACTCTCTTCCACCCTGGCTTGTTTTCCAACATTACCCTACCACCAACTGGGCCGGCATCGACATCATGACAGGCGTACGGTTTGCCCAGTCGCCAACTGGCTTTTCCAACGCAGAGATACACCTTGAGTGGGCAAGGCATTTCAACCGCTGGTCTTGGGCATCGTCAGCGCAAGCAAAACAGTCAGGAAATTCGCTGGAAGAGTGGTTCGGCTGTGACGAGCATCTTCGGCGCCCCAACATGGGGATGAGTCGCGTGGAGGCGCCGCCAAACCAACGGCCTGACGACGAGAAGATCTACCGATTGCTTGTTGTGGATGGCTTTACAGGGCATACCACCCTTGACTTTGCTGAGTATTGTATCAAGTTTGATATCATCATTGCTATTTTCCGCCGCATTCCACCCACCTCATGCAGCCGCTTGATGTTGGGGCATTCCAGCCACTAAAGTAAGCACATCAGAAAGCGCTTCGAAGTCGCTCGCAGAAGGCAACATATCATTTTCGCGGGTCAACTTCTCACAGCTTTTCAGGACGTATATGAGGCTGGCTTCACGCGGCATAACATTATGGCGGCATTTGAAAAACAGGCCTCTTTCCTGTCGACCCAGCGCCGGTGATCACCAAGATCCTCCACGAGCAGCTACGACAACAGCAGCCGATCAATCCTGCATACGCCTCGCTCCTACCCTCGGAGACGCGTTTCCAAGTCGCCGCGGATGCCCTCAATGATATCCGGCAACGGTATGGGCCCTCATGAGCTCGCCATCACGAGAAAACTTGCGGGTTCTTGCGAAAGTGAACACCGAGTCTATCGCGATGGCGTCACATTCCCAGGGCATAGTCAGCGATAAGAATAGCCGAACCCAGGCGTATGCGAATCGAATGAAGAGAGGCAAGATTGTCAGGCCGCGCGGAGAGTTTATCACGAGCTCCAGCATGGCCGACATCACCCGGGAGTATGAGGAGCTCCAGGCAAAGCAAACCCGGCTTCAAACGCGCCAGGAGATAAGGATGCATCTTAAACGAGTTCGTGGAGAGATGCAGAAGATCCGAGAAGACTATAAAGTCGGGAAGAAGCAGTTAGTCAATGGCAGAGTCAAGACATTGAACTTTAAGCCCTGGCTAGAGTTTACGGGACGAGACGTTGAGTTCTACACTCTGGAGCAAAGTTGCGATACCTCATGCGGGAGCTCAAAGAGCCATCCAAGGAATCCTTTTCTATGATACCACGAAGAGAAATAACTCCGCCAGAGATGTCGCGCGCAGCGACCCGACCTCGCCCACTTACAGATATGTCGTCGTTGCCCGGCAGTGACGATACCGTCTATTTCACAGGCCTCGATCTTGACAAACATAGTGAGGATGGCGCCGACGATGAAGACGAGGACAATTTACTCGACACGCAAGAGAATATACCTCATCGCCGCCGTTAGCAGCGGTTGAAGCGGTAGTCGATACACCATGCCTCGACCGCGCACCTGATCGTCCAACAAGATACAGCAGACGCTCCAGGAACACAGGTATGGATAAAATAGCTCTCAGAGACGCACAACAGGCGAAATTACTACATAATACGTCTATTTGGACTCACAAACGCGGTCTTCCTATCTCTTCGACTGGAAGGCGGCAGCTCCTAAATAGGCCCAAAGACGTGATTTTTTCACTTTTCGTTGTTACTTGCGTCTTTAGGTGATCCGCAGCTATTGATCACATGTATATTTTAGCTATTTGAAGTCGCATTGACGGCACCATGAAGCGAAGCGTAGAATTTCCCTTGATTTTGCACCCCAAATTGAGGACCCTGCTGTGCCGGATTTTTTGGGCTGTGCCGGATTTTTTGGGCCAACTAAGTGGCGAAGACACTTAGTTGGGCTGCTGTGGCCCCACACCAAGATCAACGGGTAAAAATAAGTCGCTGGCTTGGCCGACGCTTTGACTGCCCTGCAAATATAGAGCAGGAACTTGCCACTACGAGTCAGGTTCGAATACAGGGAACCCACCGACCATTCGCGACAGCGTCCGAATGAATACTATGCACATTCGACGTTATTGTCCGCGCTGATTCTTAGCCACGGACGGCATGAGGTCAATGTGATTAGGTAATCACTAGCGCCTCCTACGTCAGGTCCATTTCGAGTCTCGACAGGCAGTCGCGTCACCTGCAGTCACGGCTTCGCATCTTCTTACCGTACGTACCGCCATCAACGAACAAAACGCTGCGGGCCCGGCGGCTATGGAAGCGTCGCCTTCGCTGCCTCGCTCTAGGTCGCGTCTTGATTCATCTTCTTTCTCTAGTACCCCTTTATCTATTCTCCAGCTTGCCCGCCTTCATTGCCGAGAGCAGCTCCTTGTCTCCCCCGTCCATTGGACCGGCCGCTACCTCGACCTGCTACGATGCTCCTTCAGCGAACCGTCCCCGGCGCCCTCCTCGGCGACGGTGCTCGCAGGCAAGCGAGGCGGCGGCCGCATGCGTCGCGCATTTGAGTACCGGGAATGGGAACTGCCCTACCGAGCCGATGCTATACGCGGTCTTCTTGCGGTTGACAGTCCTTTCATCCACCGGTTCGTTCTCCCATGCCTCTCCCTCTCTGTCCATTGGACTGACTATGCAGGTTTGAAAGAGCCGATATTCGCTTCCTCTTCAACCGCCGCCATGTCCAAACCCTTCGATGCGATGTTTTCTTTGAAGCTCAGGAGACTCTCGTGGAGACTCAAGGAGAATCCTGACGCGTGGCCACCAATCGTTGCGGCATATGTTGATCTTAGGCGAATCGATATGTTGCGAAAGGACCTATGCGGGTTTCCCATAGAGTTACGGCGACATATATCCATTATGGGGCTGTCCAAGCTCAAGTTGAAGAAGATGATACCTACGGATCGCCTGCAGGATCCATATATTGCAGCCCTCCTCATCGCCACAGCACAGGAAAATAGGCTACGCGCAAGTGTCGGCAAAGAGTCCGATGTATCCTCCTGGACAGTATGATACCCAACTACGTTAGATACTGCCTTGAAACAGCCTTCCGCTGACTTGTTTTCTCGTCCAAGCCTCAGGTCCTAGTCTCGTCGAACGATCAGGAAAATATCTATCTCTATAAGGCGAGCATTTCGACTTCTTTCCTTCGCGCGCTCGATGACCCTACCTTTGCGCCCTCGGAGCCAGCATGCATACTAATTCAGATATCTACCATCTCCTACAAGCCGTACCAATCCCTTCGTGATCGCATTATCGCACTTTTGCTTTCGGAACAAGAACTAGGCAAGATAAGGGAAATGGAGGATGGGTCTCCCAATGCCAGCCCACGCAACGTGGTACTAGGCAATCAACATGTGCCTCACTTCCATTAGGGAAGTTTCACAAGTCTATATCGCCTACTGCCACTGTAATCAGGTCTCTTGAAGGTGGTTTATTTTTCTTAGTACGGACAGACATCGAGTGAGCTGTGCAATACCGGCTAAGCAGGCGCTTTTCCTCGGTAACAAGAGGGGTTCTTTCTTTTCTGTTACAGAGCAGCAAGTAATATTGACACAATATAGCTCCTTAGCTGCCCTTGAGCGCGCAGTCGCGATCTTCTGATCCAATGCTGTTGGAGCGGGCGAATAGGTCACTTGAGTATACGGAAGCGGAATATATTCGCAGGTTTCGCTTACTGCCACATATACTGATACCAGGAACGCACAAGAGAACGTCAACAATCCCACTTTAGATGTCCATAGCGCCATCAATCATGTCTCTGCCTCCTAGCTCGTCCGCCCAGGCCACTAGGGCTAGAATATGTGACACGATCTCCTTTCGATGGTCCAGCATATTAATGTCGAGCCATTCCGTAGAACCGAGTACTAGGTAATCCGTGTCAAGAGCGAGCTTCGCAGTGGGAAGCTTCTCGTATTTGACGATAAACTCATGTGGTATCTTGAAGTGCAAGAACTTTATCCAACGTCGAACGGCAAGAATAGTTATAAGACTATAATGTTGTTAGTTGAAGTAAATACTGTAGTCCGGATTTCTAGGCCTACTCTTGAGAAATCGGTTTATACCCTTCACTCCGTCGAAGGGCTAGTGCCTCCCCAACTACTTGGCTAAGAGTCTGGTCTGAGACTGTTGGTTTGCCGTTCTTGTTGATGGCATGGAATGACCTTTTCCCTTCCAAACTTGCCACCTGGAGCATTTGCTCACCAGCATATAGCTGCAAGCCGCCATCGTCGGTTGCTCGAACTTTCTTTTCTTCATATACTGTTTCGTAGATGCTTATAAGGCGCCAGTCGCGAAAGTGAATAAAGGGAGACCGCTTGCTGCTCGGCTGAGCGTAGTTAACGACACAGCGAATTAGACAGCTCACTAGACGCACAGTGATATCCTCGACAAGGGGAATCGATTGTTTTGGTATGAATCCAGTGCTTGATTCAGAAGAAGTAGACGCTGAGTCAGGTCTAGTCGGCGAGCTGCTGCCAATCTGAACGCTTGCAGTTGGTACCAAGTTTCCGTAACGACTCACGGGCACTCTCTGTCTTGTGACTCTGTCTTCCTGAAATGTCGCAGCGCCCGCATGTTCTTCGCGCAAGAGCTCGGCTAACGCGGCCCAAACATAGCCGAGACTATCCAGTTCAGACTGCTGAACGATCTAGGGCTCCGATAGGGTGGTAAAGGATGTCTGTGGACCCGTAATCAGACGGTCGATGCAAGGATGTACCCCTCTTGGACTTGCTGGGAAAAAACCACCGTCAGCCAATAGAGAGAGGCGCCTTTGAGGCTTGCTGCAGAGAACGCGGCTCGCAAAGAGGTGTTTGCGGCGCCATTGGTTAACGCCGCTGTCAAAATCCTCGGATTTGTAGAGAGACTCGAAGTTCTCCATCTCCTCGGCCATTGCCTGCTTGCAGAAGACAGCTGAGCTCCTGATGGTATCGTAGTAGGCCATAATGATGGTTTGAGCGTAATGTGGAAGTTTCTGGTAGAAATAGGAGACTTGCGAAAATCAAAGAACCCGTGAGACGACAGGACAGTGTGAAAACTAGCACTTTGATGGTACTGAAATGTCGGACGAGAACTAGGCGGATAAGCTTGAGCTGCTCTTTATAGACTGTTAGGTCAAGCAGCCTTTACTGATAGCACTGGAGGCCCGCTTCTAAGCGCCTGACTTGCACATGCCGGCCCTGTCGCGATGTTGACGGGCCGCACTTGGACCAGTAATCTTTAGTTGTTGCTTCAGGTCATCAATCACGGTCATAACCCCTAGTATAGTGAGCCTGCGTGAATGGAAAGCGGCCGGCCTCTTGTGGTGGCTTCAAATAGGCAGCAACTTGACTTGGCCGCATTGTTCGGCCCCCCACCCCCTCCCTCCCCCTGCGAGAGAATCATAACATGACAAAGAATGCAGAGATCGACATGCCTTTATTGGTGCGTACAGACTGGTTCATGGCACCCTCTCTCCTTAATACGAGCATGTGCGCCTGTAACTTATATGCCACTCCATGTACGCAGACGTGCAGGATAGATAAGTTGTCCAACAAGCAATTTCTTTACTTACCCCAAGTAACATGTACATTTACTTGGTTCATGATGCGGCGAAGCGATCGCGTCAGTTGGGCAAGAAGCATATGCCGGATTTGGCATACTCACCACGCCTTCCAGCCATCGCAGTAAACGGAATAGAGATTCATTACTAACTAGGCCAAGATGCTGAACCGGATATAAGCATCTTCGACCGACTAGCAAGCAAAATGAAGCTGAAGTAGCATCATGCACGACTGCACGAACAATGAACAGGCTGGAGCACGAGGGGGCCTGAATGGACAGCGAGGCACTCTAATGCATTGCTTACGCCTTGCTCTACAGGAGCCTCGAGCGGCTGGTGTCTCAGCATCGGTCCGAGTCTGCCTGGCGTGTTCATGATTTACCGACGCCTGGACCAGGTCCACTCGTCGGCGGTGAGGTGCTTCAAGAGAGATGTGGAAAGACGAGCGAGTGCTTTGGAGTAGCGGTCGACGTCGTGATGCGTCATTCATCCCGCCGTTGGGCTGAGCGAGACACGCACGCGGGGAGGGGAAGTCGGTGATATGATGGGAAAGGGCTTGGCGAGCTCCAAGTATTATAGAAGCATCTAGCAGTTTCCTGTCTTGCAATAGTACAGATGACCCTTTTGTCCTGTAAATCCGCCACGATGGTAGTTCAAGAAGGAATGACTTGTGTCCGCAGGAGCGACTCAATAGATGATCGCTCTGGAGTCGGCCAGGATAGTAAAGTGGCACCAGCGCAGCCCTTGAAACAAAGAAGCAGATGTTAAAGCTGCCGTTTTTCTGATCAACGACACTATAAGCCCTTCCTTCACCATGCTTAGAAGCCACATGGCAGACAGCAGCCTTGTCGATCGAGTCGATGAATGTACGAATCTTGGCTTTAATTTGCCGTTCCGTGAGTGGGAAGAAGATTGGAGCTTCTCGTTCGATCTGAGCGCTGGGGACCTGATATGGGGCAGTGGGGTGATGTTCCTTGTCCTGCCGTGCTGGTGTCGATGGCAGGTTGTCCGGGGAGTCAACTCCAACTGGGTCACGAGCTGGAAGACTACGGCACAGCCTTGTCAGACGCGCGGACAGTGAGTCCATTGTTCCTGAAGGAAGCGTAGTGACATAGATGCGCATCCTCGTACTCGGCTGCCACGGGCAGATTGATGAAGTTGTGGCGATTCAAAGTCGACATTGAATGGCTGGGGTGGGTTACGGGCTGGCGACATGTCGGATAAAGCCCGGGCTGAGCAGGCTTGTTGGTGAAAGCATGCGAGCTAGTTTTGGAGCCTGGGGCGGCGAGCAGGGAACGAGAGACGCAGCAGGGCGGTAATTATTAGCTGCACTATCCACAAGCACGCCCATCAGGCGGATACCGGTACGTATCTGAACAGGGCAAAGCTACGCTGCCGCAGAGAGGACCGGCCCCCCCGGAAAATGGTGAAGAGGTCATGGGTAGCGGAAGAACCGTCGGGCCGAGGGAGATAGCCAATCAACAATCACCAGACCGACCAGGTTTCGTTTGTCCATTCTGGCGACTACAGCACCACTGCTGCTGCTCGTCGATCCATGCTCGACGGGCCTCGGCTCGAATCACGCAGCAAGCCGTGCCCGGCACCCACCGCCATGGGCTTCCCGCTGGCTGCTACGGAAACGTGCACCGACGGCAGCCGTCACTTCTCCAGGCCCTCTCTCTTGCACGTCGACCACGACGACTCCTTGCAGTATACCGCCAAGGTGTACTCACAGTGCTAGTCTGGTGTCGGCCTCCGATGGATGTTCCATATCACCCGCAGCCACTGTACTGTATATATAGGTGGGGCGAAAGCGCGAATGTCATGTGCCAAGGCAGAATTCAGGCAGAATTCAGGCAGAAGTTGGCGCATATATTAACACGCAGGCCTGCGGGCACCTATCAACCAATCAATAATCACTTTGCAGCCTAAACAAACCCCCATCGGCCCCTGCCGTGGACTGCAGCGCCTCGCTGAAGGAAGAATGCACCGCTCCGGCCGCGTTGCATGCAGGAGGAAGCTACCACGCGGGCGCTCCTTACACAAGACACGCAAGGCTTTTGATTGGCCAAAAACCATGCCGGGTCGCTCGCAGTAATAGTTAGCCGCAGAACTACCGCTGCATCTAGCCACATGCCGAGTCTCGACGACAAGGAAGCTACCGCTACACTGCATCGTCTGAACCTCCATGTCATTGGCCTGCACCCAGCCGGCATCATGGAGCCGCTACCAAGGCCCATGTCTCTGTTCCCTCCATTCCTCGGCTGCATTTTCCCCATTGGCAGGCGGGGTTTTCTCGCAAGCGACCCGCCATCAGCAACCCAGGTCCTCAAACTGCCGAATTGAAATGTCTGCTTGCACAGCGGTGACACAGCATCGCGCTTCTTGACACCACGAGATCCTCGACGACGATGCGATGAGGGTGGCCGATGCTCCGGCAGACCTGGATACGGGCAGCGAAGCCAACACTCCCCAGAGCAAGACCGACGCCGTCGGCTGGGCCGTCGAGCACCATGACGACTCGCCATACGAAGAGGTGCGGGCTGCGGTTCGCAACACCGACGGCGGCGAGGTCGCAAACACACTGCGGGCTTGGATCATCGGCCTGTTCTTCGTCACCCTCGGCACCGGCCTGCACATGTTCTTGGGCATGAGGTAGCGTCTTCCTCTCTACAAAGCAGTGGGCAAAATCGCTCATTCTTCACTCCAGGAGCCCCGTCATCAGCCTGCCCGCCATCGTCGTCCAGCTGCTCGCCTATCCCATCGGCTGCCTCTGGGCCAGGCTGGTCCCAACCAGAGTCTTCACCACCTTTGGCGTCCCCTGGTCCTTCAACACGGGCCCCTTCACCATCAAGGAGCACGTCGTCATCACCCTCATGTCAAACGTCTCTATCGGTGGCGCCTACAGCACCGACGCTCTCGTCGCCCTGCAGGGCAAGCCCTTTTACAACGTCAACCTCGGCTGGGGCTTCGCCGTCCTCTTCACCCTCAGCTCCCAGCTCATCGGCATCGCCCTCACCGGCCTGTTCCGTCGCTTCCTCGTCTGGCCCGCGGCCATGGTCTGGCCCCGCCAGTTTGCCAGCACCTCGCTCTTCTATGCCCTGCACGACCTCAACCGTAGCGACGGCGTCCACTCCGACGGCTGGCGCATCAGCCGCTACCGCTGGTTCGTCGTCGTGGCCGTTGCCATGTTCTGTTATTCCTGGATCCCGGCCGTCCTCTGGCGCGGTCTCTCCGTATTTGCCTTTGTTACGTGGATCCGACCCAAGAGCCGCGTCCTCAATCAGCTCTTTGGCGGCTACACGGGGCTTGCCCTTCTGCCAATTACCTTTGACTGGACCTACGTGACGGCCTACCTCAGCGACCCTCTCCTCGCTCCAACCCACTCGCACATCAACACCCTTGTCGGCGTTTTCCTCTTCATCAGCGTCACCACCATTGGCATTGTCTACAGCGGAGCCCTTTACGCCGACTACCTGCCCATGGTCACGGCACAGACGTACGACAACACGCAGCATTACTACAACACTAGCAGGATCCTCGGTGCCGGCATGACCTTCGACGAGCAAAAGTACAAGCAGTACTCGCCCCTGTTTCTGCCGCCCGCCCTCGCCCTCAACTACGGCCTGTCCTTTGCTGCCCTGACGTCGGCCATGGTCCACATATGGCTCTTTCACGGCAAGGAGGTTTGGTACCGTTTCCGTGCCGCACGCGATCAGGAGCCCGACGTGCACATGAAGATGATGAAGAAGTATCCAGATGCCCCAGACAGGTGGTACGTCGCCCTGCTCCTCTTCTCCATGGCCCTCGGGCTCGGGACTGCCCAGGGCTACGACTCCCAGCTTCCCTGGTGGGCCTTTCTCGCGTCCATTCTGCTTGCGCTCATCTTCATCATCCCCGTGACCATGGTGCTCGCTGTCTCCAACATTCTCCTGGGTCTCAACATCCTCTCGCCCTTTCTGGCCGGGTTCTTGATCCCTGGCCGGCCGATTGGGGTCATGATGTTCAACGTCTACAGCACCGTCGTCCTTCTGCAGGCGCAGACGTACAGCGGCGATCTCAAGCTGGCGCATTACATGAAGGTGCCGCCCAAAATCACTTTTTGGTGCCAGGTCGTCGCCACCGTGTGGGCCGTCTTCGTGCAGATTGCCGTCATGAACTGGACGCTCGGCAACATTGACAACGTATGCGACAATGCTCAGCCCGACCACTTCAGCTGCCCCAACGGCCGCGCCCTTTTCTCCTCGACCATCGTGTGGGGCGTTATTGGCCCGCGCCGTATGTTTGGCGCCGGTGGTATGTACTCGCAGCTCAACTGGTTCTGGCTCGTGGGCGCGGGCCTGCCGGTGCTGCTCTACTTACTGGTGCGGGTGATCAAGGTGCGCTTTTTCAGCCACTTCCAGGCGCCCGTCATGCTGGGCGCCATGGCGTGGCTGCCGCCGGGCACGCCGCTGAGCTACTCGACGTGGGCGCTCGTCGGGCTCGTCTTCAACGGCTGGATACGGCGGCGGTGGAGGGGGTGGTGGATGACGTACAACTACACGACGGCCGCGGCGCTCGACTCGGGCCTTATCCTTGCCACCGTCATCGTGTTCCTGGCCATTACGTTTCCCGGCGTGACGGTTCCGCGGTGGTGGGGGAACGTGACTGTGTTTGAGACGTTGGACGCCACGTCGGCGGCGACGCTGAAAACGGTGCCTGAAGGGGGGACCTTTGGGCCTGCGATGTGGTAAATGGCTGGGGGGCATTGTTCTATGATGCTGGTGTCGAGATCGTGGTCCCGCCGCCTTGACAGGGGTAGCGACAGGGTGGAAGGGTTGAGGAATAGGCATGGCATAATGGAGATGACCCTCGCTCCCGTGGTTCTGACATGCCCTCGTCTAGGCCGGAGCCTCATAATAATGACATTACAAGGCTACCTCGACGCCTGTGGGACGTTCTGTTTTCAAAGCAGGGCCGGTGCAGAAACCCTGCGCGATATGGGGCGCAGACCAGAAGCGTCCCCAGGCCAAGTGGGCAAAAGCTAGCCACTCGCAGCCATAACCACAGTTGATTTGGCAGGCCACGCACAGTGCCCATATGTCGTCTGGAGGGCCGAGGGACTCGATCTGACTCCTGGTCAGAGGCGAAGCAGCCATGTGCTCCCCCGCGGTGAGCAACGCCGTGAGGTTGTCTGGGCCGCCTGCTTGCCGCGCCAGGGAGTGGACCGCCGTCACCCAGTCGTGGGCCTTTCGGCATAAATCCGAGTCTGGTGCTGCCAGCGAGCAAGTGGGAGTGCGGGGCCACGCATTCATGTAAAGCAGCTTGTGCTGCTGCCGTCGTGCCTGGCACGCAGACAGCAGGACCGGAGAGACGTTGGGGCGAGACGGGCAGTCTGGACTCGCCAACCAGCGCAGACGGAACAGTCCGTCCAGCAACGCATCGGTCGGGTCGTGCCCAAAAATGCGGTGCAACTGGGCCTCCATGGCCGGCGAAATGGAAAACCGACGCCGAGCGGCGCGCTCCTGATACCGGTCCAGGATCTGGACAAACAGAAACCCAGCTCGCCCAAAATGAACAACGGGCTCTGGGGCGCCGCCGATGACGAGGTCGTCGATGAGGTCGAGGTAGACGGAGTGATAGCCGGCTTGTCGCTGGCGGATCAGTTCTTGCGCGTCTAGATGTTGCCGTGCCATGACGGCCGTGGGCATGAAATCATCCTGCTGATAGATACGCAAAACCGATTTGCACAGGTCCATGGACATGACGTCGCAAATGGAGCTGTCGAGAAGCCAGCCGTTGGTCAGTGGGCCGGATCCTGATACACGTGCGACGACGATGGCCGCGCCGTATGTGTTGGCAGTATGAGTCCGGTATAAAATGCTATCCCACACCACGCCGGATCGACTCAGCGCCGCGTGGACGGTGTCATGGGCGTCACCGAAGTCGACGTCGACCTTTTCTGTGTATTGATAGAGGTACTGGCGGACCAGGGCCAGCAACATGTGCGTGGCGTCCCTCGCCCAGCCTTGGTCGACTAGCTCCTTGACGACATCGCGGGCCGAGCGTCCGTATATACGAAAGCGCTGGTTCAAAAGGTCCAGCGGAGGGATACAGAGATCGTCGACGATGGTGGCACAGGCAATGTAATGCAGCGCAGGCAAGCTAGCATCGTAGTCGGCCCCAAGCCAGCTCGCATTCCACTGGAGAGCGTCGCGACAAACTCTCCGCACCGACTGCGCCGCCGTCTGGTCGTGCTTCTTGGACCAGTCAGCGTAGTCGCAGTACAGCAGCAGGCCGCCGCTGCGCTCCCGGACGCCGTCGACCCTGCCCAGCGCAGCCTCGAGCAGCGGCCAGACATTGACCTGGTGGGCCTGCGACGTGCCGGGTACATATCCGTCGCCGCCCATGAGGGAGTACAGATGGGCCGTGTCTCTGTTGTAGCGTGATGGAGCGGCGCGGGCCGGCGCGGCGGGCTGTTTGGACCGCGGGTAGTGGACAAAGGCGCACGAGGTGTCTTGCGGGCAGCGAGGACCGCACCACATCCGATGGGCCGTGTCTAGGAGTTGGAGATTTGTCTGCGCCGTCGCCAGCTCGTCAAAGGCTGCGAGGGCTGAGGCCTCCCAGGCCAGGGCGTCTGGAGAGACGGGATCTGGGGTTGGTGCTGTTGCCATGGCTGCGAAACACTGGTGTGTACGTGACTGGAGGGACTCACAACGGCGTTTGGAGACCAGGAGGCTTGGATCGGATGGATGTTACATAGCTTTCTTTTATCCTTTATATTTCTGGCATATGAATCTCTTGCAAAGTCAACATGGGCTTATGAAGGTGCATGAAGTGCCACAGTGGTAATTTCGCCGGCCTTTTAGCCTCCATGGCTAATCTATCTGCTCCGGTAAAATGACCATAGCCCACATGGAATGTCCATGCACTGCTCAGAGACACGGGACAAACATGTTTGATGTACCCTCGCCGACGTTTATTGTGATGGTACATGCGTTCTCAGAGGGCATTGTCAGTCCTCTAGCCATACTTGATACTATCATATTCAGAATCAGCACAGCACTACACGAACAGATGCGCGAAGTTTGACAGGCATCTCGAGGAGGAATTGAGCAAATAGGGCATAGTGCTATCTCTTGTTCTCTTCGTTCTGTTTGCCGCCTTTAAAGTCTTGACTAAATAGCCGGCAGACCACCCTGCCGAACCGGCCGACCAAAAGTGGGGAAAGCGTAGCGCCGATACCCCAAAGTTGGGGCCCAGGATCTCGGGATTTGCGGGGCGGTTTTGTGCAGTAAACCGCTCTGCCTGGAAAGCAAACCAAAGGTGGGGCGCCAGTTGCGAGTATGCTTAAAGAGGGAAGGTGTATAAAAGGAGGCTTGTATCTAGTACTTTGACTTATCTAGTTCTAATATGCTATATAACCTTTAAAGCCAGATTTAGGGTTAGTTAGCTTTTTTCGCGTATAGGTCAGTACTAGGGTTAGCCTAGGGCTCAGAATTATATACAGTATTATTTTATTAAATTTATCAGATAAATAAATAAGTAAGACTCCTAGATACTCTCTACTTCCGACTCTCTGGCCCCCACCTTTCGTTTGCTTGCTAGGTAAGGGGTCTTGGCCCGAAAGGGCAAGCAATGGTCGCGCTTGTATCCCGTACCCCCCGTGCCCTAGTCACAAACAAGGATATTAGCCAATAAGGACGCCCGGTGATCAAAGGTACATTGATTTACTAGTAAACAGCACTATGATAAAAGTACCAGCAATTCGCGCCTGTATAAATAAATACATTTCTCGGCCGCCGCGATTGCTTATTGCCGCTGTCTCGTACGAAGAGGGCTTCGTCGAAGCTATATTTACAGCGGCTTAGATGCGGGGAGGTCATATTGCGGCTCTATAGAATTGCGTAAAGCGTTGTAGTCGAAAATTGACTAGTGCTATCGCCTGCGTGTCGCATCTGCTTTGTATCTACGGAGTATATCCTGTGGCGCCCGTGAACGGAGACCGAACCGGTCTTACTGCAGTCAAAGGGATAGACGGCAATGCCCCTGGTCATGAAAATGCAGACACTTTGATTCCCAGAGAGGAGCATCCGAGTAGCGAAATGTCGGATCCACTGATAAGTATCCAGCCCCTCTTGGTTTCGAGCTCCGTACCCCACACCATCGATATCTTTTCTTCGAATACACCTTGAAACTTCGCCATTCTTTCCATGAATGATTCGGATTCTGTTAACGTCGACCTAGCAAACGCTGACTGGTCCCTGGTGCGCATGACTATTAGCAGGCTATGCCAAGAACGCATCATGTATGGGAACTGGCTTACACGTTGCGAGAACCTCAAGGACGTGTGGGACATGAAGGCAGCAAGCCGCAACTGCCGCCATGCAATGACGAGCCCCAGCAGCGTAGCAACAGTTCCTAGGATGCCAAAGATGATGCCCACGATTGAGGATGTGTCAATGCCGGGGCTCGATCGAGCCTCGTACTCGATTGATGAGGCGTGTGCTGTGGAGTTGGCGATTGCTGCGAGGAGCATCTTGAAACGACTCTAAAGGCAGGCTGGAGCAATCAGCTAGGCGTGTAGAGATGGTTGATGAATGAGGCTCGAGGTGAATGAGCTTAAAACCGCCAAGAAGGTTGTTGATGGCCAAGGGCCCAAGATAAGCCTCGGGTGCTCCAAAGAAATTATCCCCTGAGCCCGACGCAACATCGGCAGTTTGCGCTGGAAGGAAGCATGGCTTATAAGCTTCGGATCCCGAGCAGGACCACGTCCACAAAACGTGTCTTGGTTTGGTGCGTCCCCTTGCCACTTTTTCTGCCCTGACCTTGAGCGCTGGATGGTGATGACGTTGCCCAGTGAGATACCACTCACGGTTCTGCAAGCTAACGATGGGTGTGCCAGCCAGCGTAGGGTGTGTCAAGGGTTGGTCGTGCAAGGTGCAGCAAGCTAGCGATTGTGCAGCTAGGGTAGGGTGCCAGGCGGGTGATTCAAAACACGCCCTTCATCCTCGCCCGCAAATACGAAAGTAAATGCCACTTTCTCAGCAATAACGGTCGCAAAAGCCAGTTAAAGGCATTACGTGACATGATATACTGGCTGTGAATGCTCTACCAATTTTTTTCTTTTTCCTATTTCTTAGAGCAAAGGGGCGATATATTTTGCTGGAAGCCAGGCTCTATACGCCGTAGCGGGTGGGTGAGGGATTCGGTGTAAAAGGGGCCCGTTTTTTTCCCACTCGCATCATTGTACGACAGCCCAAGGGATGGGCGCGTGCAAGCCACGGTTTGTGCAGCAGCTAGCGTAAGGTGAGTGCAAGCCGCGGTAATTACAGCAACTAGCATAAGTCTACGCCTTATGCTCACGGGAAAGCCTGGACCAGTTTAGTCGGCAGCCACTTTCAGATTCAGCCAATAATTAACGTCGAGTCGTGTGACTGGCCTTCCGATTTCTCCAGGACCTAATCACGGCGTGCGTGGCGGCGACACAGCCTCGTTATGCTCAGGTACAATGGGCGTCGTCAGACAACGTCTTTCCCCTCTTGAAATTGCCCCCAGCCCAAACACTCGACACTCGTCCACTTGGTACCCCTTCTCCTTAGTCCTTACGACTGATTCTGATCACTGCTCCTCACACGAGGGGACTAACCATGCCTCATCCCCACCCGAAGCCGACCGAGGACGACTGGCTCTGCTACAAGTCTGCCATCCGTCGCCTGTACCTCGTGGACGATGTTCCTTTGAGGGGATTTATCGGCAAGGTGGGCAACCTTGACCTGACTGTGATATGAGTTCCCTTGGTCCTTGTCATACCCGAATCATTGCTCAAAGCCATTACGGATAGAAAGGCGCAGCTCGAGTACCAATTGAAGAAGTAGAAGTTCAACAAGGATATGAACAATTCTATGTGGCTCTATATAAGACATCGAATTGAAAAGCGCAAGCGAGAGGGCAAAGACAGCTAGGTCATTTATAATGGCAGGCGTCTCAAGCTATCTACCGTTAAGAAGGAGACGGACCGCCATCGTAACTGGTCTATATTCGCCCAGCGCGAACACGGTGAGTCTAGGCCCGGTGGTCGTATCCGGCTCACATTGTAATACTGGTTGAGCGTCCTAGCCCCAAGCCCTCCGTCTTCCGTGTCGCTAGAGACCCAGGTTGCTGTTTGCACGCCCCAGCCTCTATCGATGGAGGTCATATGGCCTAAAACCTCCCATGGTTGCAATTTCAGTCCAAATACTCTCACGGTTAGCAAAGATCTATGTCGGAATGGCAATTGCGACTGATACTTCTCTATCCAGTATTTCAAGGTTTGCTAAACCAGAGCAGGGGTACCGGGAAGCGCAACGAGGTCTCCAAACTGCAGTTTCAGCTTCCATGTCTTAGTCACCTCCTATTTGGTTAGAAACACCAGTGGCGGCCAACCCGGCGTCTCAAAGGCAGCATCCGAGATTGGGAAATCCATGCCCGAATCACACCCTGGGGAGCATTTGAGCCGCGCCTCAACTCTTGTTAGTTACCAGGGCCGGGGATCTTCTTAGGAACTCTTAAAGCAGCTGGTCTATGACCTATCAAACAAGGACTGGGGCGGGTATTATGACCCTGCTATGCGCCAGCGCTGGGATAGTACCGTGGCTATTCTTCGTCAGTCCGGGCTACTGTATCATCGCCCTGACGTCGCCGCGTGCGGGGACCGAACCATCATGGCCCTTTATGGAGAGTCTATTGCAACTTTGGGTCGGATACGTAGCGTGCCATGACCCATCGACCGATTCGGGCGACAGCATCTTGGATGGCTGCTCTCGTACCGAGTTGATAGCAACACTCGATACAACGGAAAACCCCCACTCGAGGCCAGCATAAACAAGAGATTGCTAGGATGCACACGAATGCTACTCATGGCAGGTGCTATGGATCATGCGAACGGTTTCATGACGTCACTTGAAGAAGCTTCAAGAGCGGCAGAAGACGTCGGTGTCGAATGGTCCGAGGACAAAGAGCTCATCCAACTTATGCTACGACATAGCCCCCGATCTCATTGCGACAGGGTCCTTGGAGAGGCCATAGAAACAGGGTCTGTGGATATCGTCCATAGTTTTGTGCGCAGAGGCGCCAATCTTCTTCGAGTCGTTCCCCCGCTCCTCCGAAAGGGAAAAACCACGGCGCTCGGCCTGGCGGCTTCGGTGATATGGGTTCACGATTCTTGGCCTGGAAAATACGGGGAAGCAGCAGCTCCAAAGACTGCTCTCATGCGATTTATCCTCCACGCCCTTGTGGCTCAGTACCCGTCGAGGTCCATTTCAAGTTTTGTCACCCCTAACGTCTTTATCTCTGCTGCAGAAGCAGGTAACATGGATGTCCTCCAGTACCTCTGCACAACCTCACCAAGCATTGGGGCCATAAACCATCATGGCTTTAATGCCTTGCACGCCGCGGCTTCTCGGGACGATGTCGATGCCTGCGACTTTGTCCTCGGTCAAAAGGTGCCGGTAAATACGCCGTCATCAACCCTCTCCGCGCTTCACATTGCTGCTCTATGGGGCCATGACAAGATCGTCGACTTGCCGATCCAAAACGGCACCGACCTGGATGCTGCGGGAAACCTCGATATCGACTTGACCGTCATACCAGGCCGGAGTGTGAAATTTGACAATCGGGTCAAGGAGGTCTTATAAAATTGTGACCGGAAACATAACATATCGCCTATGGAGTCTTTGATCCATGCAGACTTCGGCTTCGAGTACCTGTATAGCGAGGGGTTGTCGTCCTGCCTAGCCAGCCTGGTTTGGGCGGGCGCAAGCTTGCCCCAAGGGACGCTTATCGCTTCGATTAGACATGGTTTAGAGCAAGTCGCCTCAGCTGTGCTGGCCGCGGGCGGCGACCCGAACGAGACGTGGAGAAAGAGAAGTGCGCTGAAATGGGCGGCCAGTTTGCCAGTCCGGTCGAGAGTCTCGGCAGGCTTGGCGAAAGCTCTCCTTGATACTGGGGCAAGCATCCAGGGTGATGAGGCTATATTGGTCTTTTGCGCGGAAAATTGGGCCTCATTGGATCTCCTACAGGAGTCTGGCTTGAGCTTATCAGGATCGACGGCCGCGGTGAAATTGCCCTTAAGGCCGCAATCGATCCCAGCAGACTTTGGACCATCGATGCCCGAAATCTACAATGTCTGGTGGCTATGTGGGTCCTTGGCTGTCGAAGCGCCAATGTTTTGGGTTGAACAGCTTCTAAGGAATCGATCCGTTGATACTGAGCCGTCTATCTTAGAGGCAACAGCAGTGTCTCTGGCAGTGAACCTGGATGAACCGGGCTATCTGACTCTCTTACTGTCGTTTCTTCCAGTGGTTCCCGAGGGCCAAGAGTCGACCCTGTATGGGTCTTACTCTTGGGGGGCGTGTGTCACCCCAACGACCTCGTTTGGTTTGCAGCTGTCCGCAGAAAACAGTCTAATGTACAGCCCGCCACTTGCATTTGCGTCCAGTTCCGACAAGCAACGAGCTGTTGACAAACTGCTGGACCACGGTTACAGTTTCGATTGGCACACGCTGGTAGTAGCAGCACGCAAGGATGACCTTCCGCCAGCGCGGAAGGTTCTCGAAAGTTAGCCCTCCCCAGACAAGCTCTTTGGGCAGCGTTCATACAACCCGCTGCACGAGGCCGTTGGCCGCGGCAATCTTGATATGATTCGACTTCTCCTGTCCGCCGATATACGACCGGAGGATTACTTTTACCACCCCTGTCTTCGGGTGTGGACGGCGCCGACACGACGCATTTTTAAGCCCTCCTCAACTCGCGGTGGAGACGGGAAACTCAGATGTTATGAATCTTCTACTCGAGGCCGGCGCCAAGGTTGACGAGCCTCCTTACCACATATATGGCGCTACTGCCCTACAACTTGCCGCCATCAAGGGGTATCTGGGGATCGCAAGGCACTTAACAGACCTCGGCGCCGACATCAACGCCAGAGGAGCAGAGATCCACGGCCGCACGGCGCTAGAAAGCGCGGCGGAACATGGGAGGCTCGAGATGGTCCAGCTACTGCTGTGTAGAGGCGCGGAAACAACTGGTGCATGGCGGCATCAGCATATCCGGTCGATTGCTTTTGCGAAAATAGGAGAAAACTTGGTTGTCGAGTCGCTGCTCAGAGATTATCGGGAGTGGACGAAGACGAAGACATGTGGTGCGAGGGCGACCTGCTGAGTGAAAATGGAGAGCGGTCTGATGAGGACTCTGATCTACACGTGTCTGAGTAGAATCAGCTTCGAGATGAAGCGACGAGACTAAATCGGCGTCGACATGAGCTGAAGCGGCTATTTTCAGGGTTTGTCAGATATCCTGGTGGTGAAAGGCGTAGTACGTGTTGCAGACCACGCTGGAAAGATGACTCTGTTGCTTCTCCTCCTCTATTCTCTCCCTCTTTCGGACTATGCAGCCGCGGTACTGAAATCGCGAAGCAATGTCCTGTACCCTTGGACAGTGAGTGTCCCCCCAAGCTGCGTGGCAGCTGGCTACGCTTGTGGTCGATGAGACTTGGCTACGTTACTGGGACACGAGGCGGCGTGGCGATGCAAATCTTTCCATTGACTGAGCTGAATCTTGACAAGATGGCGAAACCCCGCTTCCAAACATGGATTCCTGTGCTTTGCTCCATGTCGGATCCCCGTGTTGCTTCCTTAGCCTTCCAACGTACCATGCGCAAGGTCTTGCTCCCACTCCGCGCCTGACCCAGCAGGCTCAGGAAGCTCGTTCGGCAGCGACGGCGCACTGCAATGCCCGTCAAAACTAATGTGCTTCCTCGTCGTCGTTTGGCTTTCTGTCTCGACTCGCACGTCGTCCCAATATCTCGAGCGAAGATGTCGATCTTTGCATTCGGCTCTCCGTGTCTCGCGTCCCGGGATCGAGCCCAAGACTTGCTTGTCTCGCTGCCAGGATTCGGAGTGGACACGCGGAACAGATAGCGAGGTATGTTGTTCATCGTGTGTCGAAGCCACTGGTCGCCATATTCGGTCGGGCAGAACAGGAGGTACTCGGGCTCCGAGACACGTGGAGTCTGAAGCCCATCCGCCGAGGCGTTGTCCTCCATTGCTTGGAGATGAAGACGCGATGGAGGTCGATTATTGCACTTGGGGAGTAGATGAAGAGAGACCTTGAGATTCGCATTATCTGTCTGCGGAAGCGACGCGAAAGTTGTTTCAAAGCCTTGCTCGAAGGGATACGCATGTACTCGCGAGACATGTAGTCGACTCGTTGGCCGGAGGGCGTTTGCCGGATGGTTCTGGCCGCTGTAGGTGTGGGAGAAGGAAAACGAGAAGAGGAAATGGGTTTGGTTGAAACAGGAGCTCCTCGAAACGTGCAGTGAATTTTCGACAGCACTGCACTTCGTGCCTGAGGCCTCTATGGCAGGTAAACAAACACCTGGACTCTAAGCACCCCGACTGGGTGACGGGCCAACCGCAAGCACAGTCACTTTGGACTTGAAAAGATGAAGGCGGCCGACGACTCTGTACTCGGTGCATGGCATTTACCTTTGTGGAAGATGAAGCTGCCCTGTATCCGCAAAAATGAGCATGTCTGTTAACAGATGGTTCAAGGCTTTGGCGACTTGACTATTGCTTGGCTGCACGACAGGTGCTGATGAATTGACTCGCTTGTAGTCATCACCTGTCATGCGCGGTTGAAGTTGCGGCTGGATATTGCTCAGAGTCATGGGCGTTGAATATCGTCTCCAGGAGAGAAGGCTCGTTCGCTCAGCAGTTGGCTGAGTCTCACAGGGCAAAGCTTTGCTGTCGGCAGTTGCCAGTGTCCACGCAGAAAGACTTTATAGCCATGAGATGCTACAACTGGTCGATTCAAGCCATATTACACTAGCGTGACCGTGCTCGACATTCTTAGCAAAACACTTAGAGTTGCGGGATGTGCAGCCTGGGTGGGCGGAGAATTGACGATGCATCATCACTAATGCCGGATGACAGCAGGGTCTGCCCCTGAGCCAATCACGGGATAGGGGAGCGGTGGCTGATCATAGCGGTGCCGTCTTGACCGCCTGGCTTTGGGCTTGGGAACAGGCCTTGGGGCTATGATGAAGAGGCCTGGAGATGATTGGGCTCCATGGATCGAATCATGGTGCAAGTCGAGACTTGGGAGCAGAGAGACGCTTCCAAGTGCGGGCGGACCAAGACGCTAAACTAGATCTCAGTGGACAAGAGTGATTCCTAGTTCCTACAGTACGGGGCATTGTTGCCTTGGTGGCTGCGCATCGCGGCCATCGTCTGCCATCAACGCAATCTGGCCACCACCACATATCAACTCGAATACGCCGTGCATCAGTTGGTTGTCCCGACAGTCGGGGCACAGCCCGGGATGACGTGTCCTTGATCATTTATCCCGCCTAGCCTGATATATATATAATATATATATTTATATATACTCTGCTGGTTGAGGCGCGAACATTGACGACGAAGCGAACGGCTTTGTTCTGTTCACGCCAACCACCATCCAGACCCGGGACTCAAGACTGTCGCCCTTCGCATTCGCAACCGACTGTAAGACTGTTCCTGGTTATATTTCTTCCAGTGTCTACGTTGTCACCCTTCATCAGCGTCAGCCTCTCTCTGAGACTCTGACATCATCACGTACCCCGCCCGCTCTCAACACCAAACTCTCTCTCATCTCCCTCTATCTCCCTCTCCCTCTCCGTCTCACTCTCCCTCGTCCGCCATCACCGCCCCCTACTCCATCCCATCGACTCGACCTCAAATGGCTGCCGCCTGCGCCGACGGCTCCTGCGCCGTGCAGCCTCTCTCCCGCCAAGACAAGCGCAACGAGTTTGACCGCGATCCCGCAAACGCCCCCGAAATCCACAAGGGCCTCCGCGATGACCTGCTTCGCATCGGCCAACACTTCTTCGACCACGCGTCGCCCGTCGCCGACATGGAGGAGAGCCTCCACGATGCCTGGGATGAGCTGATCCACGCCGCCCGCATCATCCCGGCCGAGAGCCCCGAGCACGACCGCCTCGTCAACCTCGTCCTCGAGATGCGCGAGTTCGGCCTGCTTGCCCGGGCCGAAGGCGATGCCGTCGTCTCCAACGGCCAGCGCCTGTGGACCGATGTTCCCTACTTGGCCGAGGAGATTCAGGACTCCTGGACCCAAGAGTCCCGCGGCTTCGCCGTCGACGAGCGCCAGAATCTCGCCGCCCTGACAGCCAAGCTTTGCGCCGTCGGCGTTTGTTCCGCCGACATGGCCCGCTGTGCGCTGTGGCTCTTTCGAGAAGCCCTCGAGACGCATCTGCCTCTGACCGGCGAGTCTCCAGGAGGCGACGCGACCAAAGTCTCTACGTCTCTATCTCTCGCCCATCTTCTTCCCGCATGTCTTGCGTGGCTGAACCACGGCAACTTCAAGCTCGCCAAGCTATGCGCAAGCGGCCAAAACCTTTCCACGTCCGCAACGCACAGCGGACAACGCGTCTCGACCTCGCCTGGTCCCCTGGCAGCCAGAGCCGGTGTACCCCAGCTGGAATTCAGCGTCGAAAGGTGGCTGTTCTGGAGGCGGCGGCTCGGGGAGCTGTACCTTGGCGGCATCGAACAGGTTGCCGAGCCGGCGAGGAAGTGCTTCGAGGTCATGGTCAGCACCGGCAGTGCCATGGGACTGGAGATACCGGGGGAGAAGAAGTACTTGGAGAGGCTGTTTGAGGCGCTGGACAAGGAGGTCGTGGCCCGAGATATGAAAGAATGCGTTGGTCCCGAGGACATCCGCATTGACCCGGCGTGGGCGGATGACAATTAGCCCTACCCTAGACTGTAAGGATGGAGACCCTCGATGGGAAACGACACTTAATCTCTCTTCCTGGGTATTCGGCTTCAGTTGCCTGGCGATGTCCCATCAGTGCTACCCCTAGTTTTAACCCGGCCACTCGGCAGAGCTGACAACATGTCGCGCCTAGGATCCTGGTCGGTGGGCAGCCATCGAGTCAGGCCGTCCAAAGGTGCCATGGTGCAAAGCTTTCGCTGTAGTTGCCCGAGTTATACAGCAGCACAGGCCCATGGCTCTTCCACTTGCTCCGGAGCGGAGGAATTTGTCATCTGTCTAGCACTATCAGAGCCGTTTCGCTTCGGCGGCTAGAGTTGGAAGTCTCTAGGACTTGATGGGTTTTTAGGCTGATATACCTGTTAAAGACTGTCCAAACTTTACGGTACACATTCCTCATTGTCAGCGGCTGTCGTTTGGAAGAGTGACGCAAGCATGGGACGGCCAAGTCTGTATCTCCAGACATGAAGCAGCAGTTTCAGCTCGGCTAAAATAGCTGTATACCGCTTCGTATTGATAAACGAAAACCCAAGAATGCAAAAGGAAAGGAGTGCTATAAGGGGACATGGTGGCCTGATGACTGAGTGCTGCCTGTCGCAACCTGGACAGAGGCTCTCCGCCGACTTCGGTGTACCAGAAGTAGCGGCCGCGAACTTTTTATAAACATGGCCGGGAAGTACGTCGATGTCATCGGTGTTGCATCGCGAAACTTTCCTTGTTCCTGGCGTCGTTTGATGCCGCCACTCCTGGACTGTTCGAGGCCGCACCGATGCTGCTCACGCACATGTCACGGTAATAACCACAAAATGCCCTTCTATCAAACTGCTGGGCCAAGCTTTGGGATAAGGCCCCAGGCAGCTGAATAGCGAGAGCAAAGGCAGCGTAGCGCATCTTGAGGAGTCCGTGACGTAGAAACGTAGTTGAAGTATCATAAAGAGGGATAAGTAAGAAAGAACGAGCGTGTGTTGGCGTCGCGCTTTTGGAAAGCAGGGGGGAGGCCCCCTTAAATAGTGTGTGAAAGCATGGCTATTCGTACGACTTGTCCAGACGAGCGAAACCACTATACCATGATTCGAAGCAAACATCTTCACATGCTCAATTTCGTTTCAAAAGTTCATACCAACGGCCCAACGGGGTCCTCTGGTATTCTCGAGTCAAGGCGGCTTCAGCGCTTGCGTATACACCAGCTCCGAAAGCTACTGGAGTCAGATGAGAATGAGAATGTCACGGGGGAGAAGACAACGTCTGAGTTGGTTGACGGGAAAGTTGTGAAGGAAGAACACTACTGAGCATAAGGACGTTAAGTATATACTGGTTTAAGGCATCGACAATCGCAATACACTTATAATAGCTCATATAAGAGTTCTTGTAAGAGCTCTCGCAAGATGCAAAGCATAAGCTATTTATTAGGCAGCTAAATAGGAGGTTATAGCTCCACAATTGGATGCAATAGAGGCAGAAGCCTAGAGCAAGAAAGAGGCATAGCAAGATTTACATAATACGGTACTCTCATACTTTATTATAACGCCGCTAGGGATCCCAATATACTATCACCTATATATTGCGACAATTTCATTTATTTGCGCGTGTTCTAGGCTGCAATGTCGGCACAGGGAGTATAATATAAATCTGCGTCTTAACTAGCCACGATTTCCCTGGATTTGGTCGGACGACCGGCAGATCGGTCGGATATTTAAGGCCTATAAAGCATGGCTTGACCACCAGCAAAATAGGGGCATCCCCAGTGGAGGTGTTATCGGTATAGTTTATAAGTCTTTATCCTGCTGACAGCTAAGTATGTATCTGCCTCTGCCTCTAACGGCCTTGAATGTTTTCTGTGGCAGCTTCGCCATGTTAGACATATCGATGGAAATCAAGTCATCACGGAGATAAGTATACTTTTCGCCCCCGAGCAAATGTCCCAGCCCATAAAAAATTGTCGATAAACCGAGGGCTTGAGCGGCCTTGAAGAATCTTTGAGCACGATATACGCCTCGTTTCGTGTCGAGCTTGTGACGGCTGCCGACAAGCCCACCTCTCACCCTTTTACGCAACTTTTGGATGCGAATTGGATAGCAGAGTACTGGGGTTCTCGATCAAAAGCGCTGCGCAATCAGTTTGTTGTGCACACCCCCACTGCCATCCCGTGACTTGAGAACTCCGGACCGCGGTTTTGTGGTGACGAGCGCCCCGAACTCGGCTGCAGATGACAACCATCCATTGCACTTTGCAAACGTGATTGAGGGGTTTACTTGCGTGGCCTGTGGCGCAGCATGATGCCGTACCACCATCTTTGGCCCCCTCTCTGACCAAACTCGGCTCTGATCAAGCTCTGGTGCCGCCCTTCTGATCATTCCATCCCCTCATCTCGCCTTTCGGTGGTGCTATTTATGAATGGGTCATGAAGATGTATTCGAACCTCCATCCGAAGCTTGTGTTCGTGCTGGCAGCTGTGCTGGTGAGCATCGCGTTTGTCCGCATCAGGCGTTACTTTGTCCGCCGCCAGTTCGCCCGCCGCCATGGCTGCCAACCAGTGGCAAGATCTTCCAACAAGGATCCTTTCTTGGGGCTCGATGAAATCCTCTCGATCGTCCGCGCTCTCCGGCAGCACAATGTTCTTGAACAAAGTTGCGAGCGCTTTCGTATCCATGGAAACACGTTTACAGTAAAGGAGCTGCTAAAACGTGCGATTTTGACCGTGGAGCCGGAGAACGTCAAAGCAATCCTATCAATTAACTTTAAAGATTACGGCATTGGCCATCGCCTTGAAACGTTCAAACCGCTGTTGGGGGCAGGCATCTTCGACAGCGATGGCGACCACTGGGCTTCGTCGCGCGCCCTTATCCGGCCCAACTTTACCCGTGACCAGGTAGCCGACTTGACGTCGTTTGAGCACTTGATTCAGGACCTCTTCTCAATACTGCCGCGTGATGGAGAGACAGTCGTGGACTTGCAGGATCTCTTTTTCCGCTACGCTATCGATTCAGCGACCGAGTTCCTGTTCGGACAGTCGGTCGGTAGTCTGAAGAAGAGCCAGTCGGAGCTCAGCTTTGCCCAGGCGTTTAATTACGCCCAGGAGGCCATCATAACGCGAGCCACACTGGGTCCATTGAACATGTTTTACCGCGACCAGAAGGCCGACAAGTGCAATCGTATCTGCCGGGATTTCGCCCAGCAGTTCGTCGAGGAGGCGGTCCACGCAATCGAATCCGAAAAGAGCGACAGTGAGAAAGGACATCTTGAGACGAAGCGCGAGAAATATATCTTTTCGCATGAATTAGCATGGCGTACATCTGACAGGCATCGCATTCTGGATGAGCTTATGAATGTTCTTTTAGCGGGCCGTGATACTACTGCTAGTCTACTCAGCAATCTGTTCTTTATGTTGGCTAAGAATCCAGCGATGTGGGACAAGTTGCGCAGAGAAGTAGCAGGCCTACAGGGTCGAGTACCAACTTACAGCGAGCTCCGGGACCTCAAATATGTCCAGTGCTGTATGAATGAATGTGAGAAAAGCCCTCGACTATCTTGCTCCCTTTGTCTGGCTGTTTTCACTGATTTGGTTAGCGCTACGTTTACATCCCGTTGTGCCACGCAATGATCGCATGGCAGTACGAGATACTGTACTACCAGTTGGAGGAGGCAAAGATGGCCTCTCACCAGTCTTCGTGCCTAAAGGGACCCTAGTCTGCTATAATGTATATGCAATGCATCGACGGCGAGACTTCTACGGACCTTACGCAGAAGAATTCCGCCCAGAGCGCTGGGAGAATGGACAACTGCAGCCACGCTGGGAATATCTGCCTTTTAATGGCGGCCCACGTATCTGCATAGGTCAGCGATATGCTCTGACCGAAGTTGGCTATGTTGTCGTCCGAATGGCTCAGGAGTTCAAGATCCTGGAGAGTCGAGACCCCGGACCGTGGGAGGAATCGCTGACCTTGACCCTATGCTCCCGGAACGGAACGAAGGTGTGTCTCACTCCGGCTTAATGCCCGAGTTGGATGGACAGGCGGAACAACTTTGATGAGAATGGTATGGAGCATTAGTATATACGTACGTGTTGGACGAAGGTTGCTCTCTGCGGGACATTCTTGTCCTCGCTGCAGTGAAAGCGTCATAGTCGACTGTCTGACCCGGTTAAATTTCAACGTTCCCTTTTCTCTCCTTGCCGCACTGTTTGGTCGTCGGCATCCCCGCGGCTGGCTCGCTCATCGCTATTCTATCGCCTGAGATCAATCTTGTGTGCTTCATGGCGCACATCTGCATCTCATGCATCGCCGACGGGTTCTTGTCGCCTGCCAGCAGTTTGGCCAAAACGATCTTGCTATACGGTGTACGCACCAAAGAGGTTGGCGGATCTGCGTACGACTGAGAAAACAAGGGCGGAACGGTGTCCACGCATGCCGACAGTCGATGCCGGACGAAGGCACGATCTCGCTACCATTTCGGACATGTACTTTTCCGCGCCATTCGTGAGCAGATAATGGGTTTGCCCCGACCATGACCGCCCCAGAGCATGTGTTTGGTCCTGCGTACTGTCCAAGGCCGGGGCGAGATGCGACTCGGCAGTGACGAACGTGGAGCAGTTTATCCGCTATTCATCCGTGCCCCGCAAACCACGTGCGTGGCGTGCCTTGGCGCCCATTCCTTATCGATTACGACCGGAAAGCTGTCACCCCGCGTATCCGTATCTTCAACTAAGCTCCAACTCCAAGCAACTTCACGACAGCGTTTTGCGGCATCATCTACCACCTTTCAACCCTCTCCCACCGCGCATAGATCCGACAAATCACTACCGTCGCCTGGAAGTCTCGCTGCCCGCACAAACTTGACGGAGAGCATCATGTCGGACGACGAGAATTTCATGCAGGAGTCCGACGAGGAGCAGTAAGTGGATTGCCTTTCCACCTCTGAAATGACAGGGCGCATGCTAAGCGGCCGTGTAGGTACGATTTTGAGTACGAAGAAGACGACGACGAAGATTCCGGAGACGTAGACATCGAGAACAAATACTACAACGCCAAGCAGCTAAAGCTGACCGACCCCAACGATGCCATTGCCGAGTTCCTGGGCATTCCTCCGCTCGAGCAGGACAAGGGCGAATGGGGGTTCAAGGGCCTGAAGCAGGCAATCAAGCTCGAGTTCAAGCTTGGTCAGTACGAAAAGGTCGGCACGCCTCGAGTTCCCTCGCTCACCTGTCGCTGACTTGCACAGGCTGCCGATCACTTTGCCGAGCTCCTCACCTACGTCAAGTCGGCCGTCACGCGCAACTACTCGGAAAAGTCCCTCAACAATATGCTCGACTACATCGAAAAGGGTGCCGACCGGCCCGAGGCTGTCAAGAGCATGGAGAAGTTCTACTCTCTCACCCTGCAGAGCTTCCAGAGCACAAACAACGAGCGGTTGTGGCTCAAGACAAACATCAAGCTCGTCAAGCTGCTACTCGACCGCAAAGAGTACGGCGCTGTCGCCAAGAAGCTTCGCGAGCTGCACAAGGCCTGCCAGCGACCAGATGGCTCCGACGACCCCAGCAAGGGCACGTACTCGCTAGAAATCTACGCCCTCGAGATCCAGATGCTCGCCGAGACAAAGAACAACAAGCAGCTCAAGGCCCTGTACCAGCGGGCGCTCAAGGTCAAGTCGGCGGTCCCGCATCCCCGCATCATGGGCATCATCCGCGAGTGTGGTGGCAAGATGCACATGAGCGAGGAGAACTGGAACGAGGCTCAGAGCGACTTCTTCGAGTCATTTCGCAACTACGATGAGGCCGGCTCGCTGCAGCGCATCCAGGTCCTCAAGTATCTGCTTCTCAGCACCATGCTCATGAAATCCAACATCAATCCCTTTGACTCGCAGGAGACGAAGCCGTATAAGACGGATCCGCGTATCTCGGCAATGACGGAGCTGGTCGATGCCTATCAACGTGACGACGTGCACACGTACGAAAAGGTCCTGCAGGGGAACCAAGACATTCTCGACGACCCCTTCATAGCCGAGAACATTGATGAAGTCACCCGAAACATGCGGACCAAGGGCGTTGTTAAGCTGATTGCGCCCTACACGCGGATGAAACTGTCGTGGATCGCGAAGCAGCTCAGGATTTCCGAGCCTGAGGTCCAGGACATCCTGGGCTTCTTGATTGTCGACCGCAAAATCAACGGGACGTTGAACCAAAAAGAAGGGCTGCTGGAGATTGCCTCGAACGCTGACATGGAGCGCATTGCCGCCATGGGAAGTCTCACCAAGTCAATATCGAACCTCTTCGGTGCCATATTCAAAGACGGCGAGGGATTTCGGACTATCGAAAACACCACGATGGACGACAACTCGCTGGAGAGCGTGCAAGGCGTCGCTCTGAGGAAGGCGTCGCGACTTCGCGAGTCCCAGCAGCAACAACGAGCGAGAAAGGACAAGGGCACGGGTCTCGCGTGGGTCTAGCAGGCGACTGCAAGCTGCGTAAGCAAATGCTGCCTCTCCGACTAGCGTTTTGTGGCGGTTTTAATTTGCCAGCGCGGCCAGCAATGGTCGGCGTGTGCTTTGGCCGAGGCTTCAAGGAGCCTGGACCGCAAGGGCGGTATATCCCTCTACTCTGCATGATTCCGGCGTTGGAACCAGATATCTTGGTGGCACACGAAGACGCCGTCGTTTCGGTGGAACGAGCTGAGCTTGTCAAGGCATTGGTGGGGTACTGTCATCGGATAGCGGCTTCGGACGGGCGATAATGGGTCCGTGATGACGAAAGGGTTGGACCGTCGACAAGACAGTCTGCTGCTGGACCAGGTGATATGTCTTCATCGAGCCGGGGCGTGGAAGGTTCTCGGGGAGCCCGCCTATGGGCGCGGGGCAGCGTCCCTGGTACGTAAATGAGCTGACGATGAGCACGGAGTATTGGCAGCAATCAAAACAATTCTGATGCTAATGGCATTTTTATTTTCCTCACGGAATTTGGGGTTGCCCTTTTTCTGGGGTGGCCTGTCGGCCCTGGATTCCGAAGGTCGCTTGTAGGAGCGTCGCACGACAGCAAATACCTGCATATGTGGAGGGACATGGCAAGCCTGGCCACGCGATCCGTGATTTTGCTGCCACGACGACTAACGAGAAGACGAAGGAGCAAGTAATGATGCAGATATGAGCGAAATACGGAATGCGTGCACGAAATATATTGCATTGCGGCTCATGGTGTTGGCTCCAGGCGCAGGCCTGAGTGAAAAAGGCGGCTAGACAGGGATCCAGTCAGGACCAGGTGTAGATAATCAGACTTTCGGCTCACTAAACTTCCCAAGTGGTGATAGATTCGCTCCAAGCAAGTCCACGATTGTCGGCTGTGCGAAGAGCTTGCAGTGCTAAGAACCGGTAGTATTGCAACAAGAAACAAGGGGCCCCGGACTTTTCACTGCGCAAGGAATTCTGGTCCCGAGCTTCAGACAGGCTTTTGCGAGCCCTCATATACGTCTTTCCCTGTGTTGCCCCCTTTTTCTTTGTCTTTTACTGCCCTCCTCGATTAGATAGCGTGCTTGCTACTTTGCCGATAAAATGACCAGATGGGTGCTCAATTAAAGACTTATGCAACGCGCAGCCAAGCTTCAGGGGCGTAATCACGGGCAATACGTCGAAAAGAGCAGCTATGTCGGACAAAGGCCGAAGACCAGGACGGAGATTTCCGTATAGGTGGTCTTATGTGCCGCTATATATAAGATAGGGTAGATACTTACTAGTGTTATGGACTAGGGTAGAGTAGGATTAGTAGGACTAGACTTAAAAATACCTATAGGTATTAATGCGAGAAAGGCGCTATAGGGACTAGCCCTGCGCCACCCGCATTAGCCATAGCAGGGAAAACGCTATGGCCCCCGCCGAGGATACTAGATAATAGATAGCCCGGACCTCCGAGGCGCTATATATAAGAGCAGCGCCTATAGTAGTCCTCCTTAATACGAATTATCCCTTCTATAACCTTTATATCTAACCCCTAGTATACTAAATTAATAGTAATTCTTACTTTTATAGACGTTCTTTATTTTTATAAAACTATTAAGAAGATCCTCTTCTTAATTAATAGCGGTATAGCTATAGTACTAGTAGCGACCTCTATAGTTATATATATTAGTAGCGACCCTTATATTTATATATACTAGTAAGTAATTATTTAGTTAATTTACTATACTATCTACCCTATATAGTATAAATGCTCTTACTTAATATTTATTAATAGGAACTACTTAATAATTAACTAATTATTTTTCTTATAAAGTAGTCTTTAAAACTTAATTTAGAAATTAATAAGAACCGCTTCCTTAGTAAGTAATACCCCTTATACTAATAACCTAAAGCTATTATAAGGATACTTTATAAAACCTAGACCTAAAAAACTTTATATACTAGCGAACCTAATAAAATATAAAAGAATAAGCCTATATTATTAAGTAATTTACTTTTAACCTAACCTAAGTAAATTCTTAGCGCTTAAAGTACCCCTTAGTCTATATATAGCGCGCGTATATAGCTACCTAGTATTAACTAGTAGAATAACTAGTAACTTATAGCGCCTATAAGTTAGAGTTTAGTTTTATTAGTCCCTTTACTTACTCCTTTAACTCTTTACCTTTATCTCCTAGCTTATATAATTCTCGCGAAGAGAGATGCGAGAAGTGCATGAAAATGCACGAAGGTGAAATTAGAAGTAAGGGGTTAGACAGGCAGGGCAGAGGGATTTGATTCTTGCGGGAGCAGCAATTGCGGTAGGGGAGTGATTGTTGTATTGCCTTGATTCTCCTTCTTTCCTCTATCCAACGCCCTTCTTTATACCCGTCTAGCATCTCAATTAACATAGAAGATCCTGCTTAAAGAAGCCACTAATGTCCTTTCGACTACCGAGCTTTTTGCCGGTTTTTCCCCTCTTTTCCAGCCGTTGCCGGCATATCCGTCTTATCTCTCGCCACCTCTATAGGAAGCCATCGCCACTTCTGCTTCCCCTCATGCCCCCACCCTCCTTTCTGCACCTCTTTTTAGCTCCTTCTTCCTTCTTCCACACCGGGTGTTTTTCAGCTTCCTTGGTCCCTCTTGCCAAGGGATATCTCCGAGAACTGCGAAATCAGGCCACGCTTCATGACACACCCCTTGCCTGCCCCTTAAGGGCATAGCTAATACGGCTTCGGGCTGGTGAGCGTATAGAGGAGGTCTCAGTCTGCACTTCTCCCCTACTCGAGAAATCCGGGTTTTGGCCCCGGGCTCTTTTAGACCTACTTTAGGAAAAGGGGCCTAAGGAGGAAATCAAGTCCTGCAAGAAAGGGGGTCTTCTCTAAGGACAAGTCCCTAAAAAGGGGGCCTTTAAGAAGAACAAGTCCCAATTAAGCTAGGGGCCCTCCTTTAGGACAAGTCCTAATTCCTCTCTTCGGCTGCAGACGTCTCCTTCCTCCTACGTGCCATTAGCTCCTCTCGTAGACTCTTAAGGCGGGCTTCTAAGGACAGCTTCTCTCGAACGTCTTCTAGCCCAATTTGCTGTAAAAAGACAGCTAGCTTCTACTTCGGCAGGGGCTTCGTAAGACCGTCGGCTTTCATCGATGCCGTTGGAACCCAACGGACGGAAATAAGTCCCCTTTAGACCTCTTAGCGTAACCAATGCTGGTGGATATCGATATGCCGTAGCCGGGTCGACAACTTGCTGTTTTCCTCCGTAAGAATTCGTATAGTCTACGTGTTATCGCATTCTATAGCTAATGGGGTCGGAATTTGCAGTCGTAACGATATTAGTAGCCGGCTAAGGAAAATCGCTTCTTTTGACGCTTCTGAAAGAGCTAGTAGCTCTGCCTCCGTGCTTGATGTAGTGACGGTAGCTTGTTTCGAAGCTCTCTAAGCAATGGTTCCTCCAAAAAGGGACATGATGTACCCTTGTGAGCTCTTTCTGTCTAAGGAATTGTCCGCAAAGGACGAATCGCTCGAACAAAGGAAGATTTCGGCAGCTTGTTTCCTTCCCTGCCCTCCTAGGCGCAGACCATGTGATCTCGTTGAATAGAGATAAAGGATAGCTCTGTCTGCTGCTTCTTGATGCCTAGGGCTAGGATTCTGGTTGTGCCTAGCTAGTCGGGAGACCGTAAAAGAGATATCCGGTCTAGTAGAAATAGCTGAAAAAAGCAGGGAGCCCACCTTCTGTTGATATTGGTGTTTCTCTTGCTCCCTAGCTTAAAAGGACGGATCAGGCAAAAGCTCTTCGTCTAACATAGGCGTAGAGGGAAGCTTCTTATCGAGGGAATTAGGGAGGAATTTATAAGCGACCTTGTCGATATAGGCGTCTTAGGTAAGCCAGATAGTCCGTTGGGACCTATTCCTAAGGATTCGTATCCCTAGGAACCACTTTGGCTCCCCTAGCCTAGTCATCTTATACCTTTGTTGCAGGCCTCGTATAGCCTCCCTAGCAGCAGCCTCTTCCTCTTTCGGGTAGGCCCAGATGATGTCGTCGACGTAGAAGAAGACCGTGATTTTACCCTTCTGCATTATACACGGTTCCTAAGGGACTTTCTTGAAGCCTAGGGCTTCGAGGGAACCTGTTAAATGCTGTTGCCAAAGAAGGGGTGATCTTCGTAGTCCGTATAGAGCTTTCCTAAGCCGTAGAACCTTTCCTGGCTGTTGGAAGCCTGGTGGAAGGCGCATGTAGACAACTTCTTCTTCCTCGAGTGGGCAGTTAACAAAGGCGTTGACTGCATCTATCTAATTAAGCTCGAGGTCGAATTCTGCTGCTATAGCCATAAGGGTCCGAAAAGACATCCCAGCTAGGGTGGTTGCCCTAGTAGGTAAATCCCCTTTTTCCTATTAATTCCCACAGACAACTAGCCGGGCCTTGCACTTTTGAAGGAAGCCGTGTTTATCAGTCTTATAGATAAAGACCCACTTGCAGCCAAGGACCTATTTTCCTCTTGCTTTTTCCTTAAGGACCTCTTCGAAAGACCCCATTTCTTCGTGTGAGGCTAGGTAGTCTTTCTAGGCCTAGAAAAACTGGTCTCTTAAGGGGTGTTTTTCTAGCTGCTTCTGGTTTGCTGGTGGGTCCGGGAGGTCTCTTTTGTGTACCTTCCTTGCTAATAGTGGCTTGAAAAGCCGGCCTGCTATAAACGCTCCGTGGGAACCGTCTTCTATCGGCGTTGGGTAGAAGTCGGAAAAACGATCGAAATAGGGGAGAGGTTGGTCTTTATTAGTATCCGTATCGGGCCCTATACCTTCCTTTGCTTCTCGAAGTAGGGATAAAAAGGCAGCCGGGTAATCCTTCGAGAGAGGTGCCTTTCCTACCCCCTTAGGGGTCGAGACGGGAAGACTAACTGAAAAAGCTGCTTCTAGATCTTCTTCTTGTTCCGTAAGAGGAGGCGTAGGGAGGTAGGCGTATTCTAGCTCTACCGCTTTCCTATAGTCTCCTTCTTCGTCTAGATTATCTGATCTAGCAGCTTTCTCTT